GACGCGGTGGATGAGCTTGTCGGCGGCATGCAGCGTCTCGCCGGAGAGGAGGCGTGGCAGGTAGTAGGTGACGGCGTCCACTTCCGTAGGGCTCAGCCGGTAGTGGTGGAAGACGTCGTCGACGTCGAGCCCCTCCATCCCGGCCGGCGGCTGCCCGATCTGCCGCTAGGGTTCAAGCTACGAAAGGGCGGGCGGGCGACTGGGATTTGGGAGAGGTTTGTCTACGGGATCGGGAAGGTGTTGTGGTACGCGCGGTTGGTCTGTGCTGGTATTTAAAGACGCTGCACTACGCGATGGAGGACGCGTCCAATTTCCTTATCTGAATCCGACTATGTGTCCAGTTCAGTTTCCCGTCAGTTATCTGAAACTTGGCGTTCCCGTTTGCTTTCATTTTCTGAAAATTTGCGTCAATCCGATCATGATGCGGTGCTGAAAATGTAGAGGATAGATTCCGTGCTGATTGTGATTCTTGATTTTGGGTAGTACTACAAGTCCTATTCTTTTCCGGGTCCATTTATTTGAATCATACCCTCGGACCTTAGTCGGATCCATTTCTTTTCATCCATGCGTGATGCGTCCTCCCACGAGGAGGATGACCGGACGCAATGAAACTCTTAGCCTGGAATTGTCGGGGACTTGAGAATGCCCCGGCGATTCGTGCTTTGCTGGATGTCCAGCGAAGATGCAACCCCGAGGTGCTGTTTTTGTCGGAGACGCGCCTTGATTCGGCTGAATGTCTGCGTGGAAGGCTCAGGATGGACCAAAAATTAGTATGTCCGGGTGATGGGAGGAAAGGAGGTTTAATTTATTGCTTTTTTGGAATAATAATGTAAAGGTTCATAGGCTTGCTTTAGATCCTATATGTTCATTGATGTTAAAATTGAAGGAAATAATAATGAGTTTTGGCGCTTGACTGGGATGTATGGGGAATTCAGATGGGAAAATAAACATCTGACATGGAATCGTATGCGTCAACTGTACCAAAATAATACCTTGTCGTGGCTACTGATTGGTGACTTGAATGAGATACAATATCTTCATGAAAAGGAGGGAGGTAATCCAAGACCAATCCAGTACATGCAGGCATTCCAACAAGCAATAGATGATTGTGAATTGCATGATATCGGCCATACAGGAGACACTTTCACATGGTATCGTGGAAGGATAAGAGAGAGACTGGACAGAGGTTTGGCGAACGAGGCATGGTCTGCTATGCTTCCAGATGCATCATTAGAGAACATGGACTACAACCATTCAGATCACCGCCCGCTGTGTGCGGATACTGAATACTATGCTCAAGGAAATACGGCTGGACAGACTGTACATTCGAGACGATTTGAAGCAAAGATGGTTGCGAGAGGAGAGCTTCCATGAAACAGTCATGCAGGCTTGGGAGAAAGTAGGTTCTGATCCCAGTTGTGGAAGCATCTATAAAAAATTAAATAAAATGCATGACCAATTTCATGATTGGGACCAACGAGTCCTTAAAAAACCGAAGAAAAGGTTACGTAAGGCACAGAGGGAGTTTGAGAAAATCATGGCTGGACCGTTGAATGACGATAATGAAACTAAGAGAAAAGAGCTGGCGGAATTGATTGAGTTTCTGCTGGAAATTGAGGAAATAGAAATGAGGCAAAAATCTCGAGCAACCTGGCTAAAAAGTGGTGACCGTAATACTGCGTTTTTTCAGGCTTTTGCGTCTGCTAGGAGAAAAAAGAATTATGTGAAGAAGTTGAAGGATGATGGTGGTAACTGGATGGAAGGCATGCCGGAGCTTAATTCCCATATACAGAATTACTTCTCTCATTTATTCACATCTGAGGTGCAGCAGACAAATCCAAATGTTTTGAAGAAAGTACAACACAAAGTCACCGATCAGATGAATAACTTTTTGATGGCTCCTTTCTCGGCTGAGGATGTTAAAAAAACGGTGTTTAGTATTGGTGATTTAAAGGCACCAGGGCCAGATGGACTACATGCAGTTTTTTTCAAAAAATATTGGCACATATTAGGGGATGAGGTCACCCAGGAGGTATTGGCAGCCATTAATACAAGACAAATTCCGAGTGAATGGAATGACACAACGATAGTCATGATTCCCAAGATTGACAACCCTGAATTGGTAACCCAATTTCGTCCTATAAGTCTTTGTAATGTTCTTTACAAGATTATCTCGAAAATGCTAGCTTTGCGTTTAAATTTTTTTTTGCCTGGGATAATTTCCCCTATGCAAAGTGCTTTCGTGCCTGGTAGGATGATCACTGATAATATCCTTATAGCATATGAATGTGTTCATAAAATAAAGAACACTAGATCTGGCAGGACAGGATTATGTGCAGTTAAATTGGACATGCACAAAGCATATGACAGAGTGGAGTGGTCCTTTTTGCATGATATGATGGTGAAATTGGGATTCCATGAACAATGGATCCAACTGATGATGGCATGCATCAGCACTGTTAATTATAAAGTGAGGTTCAATTCCCAGGAGACGGATGTGTTTACTCCGAGTAGGGGGATTAGGCAGGGGGATCCCCTATCCCCGTATCTTTTTCTCTTGTGTGCAGAGGGTCTTTCTAGTCTATTGCAGTTTGAAGAAGCTGGTGGCATTGAGGGGATTAGAGTGTGCAGAAGTGCACCATCAGTATCACCCCTTTTATTCGCTGATGATTCTCTAATTCTCATGAAGGCAAACATTTTAAATGCAGCTTCCTTACAGCATGTACTAGAAGCCTACTATGAAAGCTCAAGACAAATGGTGAGTTTGGCTAAATCCAGTGTGTTTTTCAGTCCTAACACTCCAGTTGTTTCTAGAACAGAAGTTTGTCAGGAGTTACATATTGACACTGAAGCCCTATCAGATAAATACTTGGGACTCTCGGCTATGGTTGGGGCTGACAGGAGTGATTGCTTCAGACACTTCTATGACAGAATTAAGGAGAAATTGAAAGGGTGGATGGAAAAGCAATTATCGATTGGAGGTAAAGAGATTCTACTCAAGTCAGTAGCTGAGGCCATACCAGTTTTTGCTATGTCTGTTTTTAGCTTGCCCAAAAGCCTTTGTAAGGATATTACAGATTTGATTGCACAATTTTGGTGGGGAGATGATGAAGAACACAAAAGAATGCATTGGTATACTTGGTGGAAACTTTGTTACCCTAAATGCGAGGGGGGCATGGGGTTTCGAGACCTCTATTCGTTCAACCTTGCGATGCTCTCGAAGCAATGTTGGCGGTTGATTACTAACCCGTAGTCCTTGTGTGCATGAGTTCTGAAAGCTAAATATTTCTCCAATGGAAGTTTACTTGAAGCTACCTTGAAGAGTGGTGCGTCATTTACATGGCAAAGCATAATGAAGGGCCTAGAAACTTTTAAGTTGGGGTACATATGGAGGATAGGGGACTGGCGCAAATGTTAACATTTGAAGGGACCCCTGGATCCCATCGAGTGAGGACCGGAAAGTGATCACAAGGCGTGGACAAACTGTGTTATCCTCGGTCAATGATCTTATTGATCCAACTTCAGGAGAGTGGGATGAGGATTTGATCAAAAGCATATTAAACACAATAGATGTTCGAAGGATACTACAAATTCCGCTGAATTATGGATCGTTTGACGACTTCATTGCATGGAATCCGGATCATAGAGGTTACTTTACAGTAAAATCTGCATATCAGATACAATGGACTAAAACTTTTCATGCCCGTGCAAATGTATTGGCTCGGCCCGGGGGGTCAAATACACCAAAAATATGGAGTACAATGTGGAAGATCAAAGTTCCACGGAAGGTTCAGATTTTTTGTTGGCGCATTCTTCATGGAATTATCCCGCTAAAGTCAATCTTGACTAATAGGCACATTGGTTCAGATGGGGCATGTCCAATCTGCCATCAAGATGCAGAGGACATTCGACACCTCTTGTTTGATTGTGATCACGCAAAAGAGCTCTGGAGTGACCTGGGCATTGCAGATTTGATGGAAGAGGCAAAGGAAATAGATAAATCTGGGTCCGTGATCATGGAGCACCTCCTTTTGATGCAAAATAAGCCACTGCCAATTAAACCAAATTTGAACATCAAGCAAGTATTTGTGGTGGGCTGTTGGTTCTTACGGTGGATTAGACGTCAACACACACATGATGGTAACCCTTCACCCCCCATGTAATGGCATATGTCAGTCTTGGCAATTACAAACAATTTTCAGGAAGTTAATTATAAACCGAGTGGAGACATGGAAAGGAGGTGGGTTAAACCTGGCCCTAGGTCTATGAAATTAAATGTTGATGTAGCTTTCTTTGCTGACGAGGGATCAGGAGCAACATCAGCGATTATCCGAGATGAAAAAGGTAATTTCCTTGCCGCTCAGTGCAAAGTTATTGATCATGCGGCAGATGCTATTACCACTGAAGCTTTGGCAATGCGTGATGGTCTAATACTCGCAAACTCTCTCGGATGTGGATGTTGCTTCTTCTATCGGGAAGGTTGTCTGTATGCATTGTTATCGCTCGTGTAACAAAGCGACTCATGTGCTAGCTAATTTCAATTATTGTAATAAGATTTCTTCTAGTTGGACAGTCTTTTTTTAGGGAAGTCAGAATGGAGTCAAGTGGCCTGGAACTGGTACTTGGTAGTCACCCAGCCATGCTAGGAATGTATCACCAAGACCAGTCAAGCCCATACCATACTACTCACCAGAGCAGCTGAGACTTGAGTGCTATACATACATAAAGAAGGCCAGAAATCTGTGATCACCATTCATCAGTGTACAATACCAAAACCCCAGCTTTCCCATTGCACAATCTAAGCAAGGCATGAGACTACCAATTTCTACTTCCTCTTTTCCTCCCGTTGCATTACATTCCTTGAGCCCTCGAGGAACCAAGAAGACAAGGGACTTAAGAACTAGCGGTAAATCTAACCGACCATGTACTACTGACAAAAAGCAAAAGAGCAATAGAAACGAAGAAGGACAATGTAAATGGAAGGGTGGATCGTCAGTCAGTCAGTAGTTGTTGCTGTTGTAGCCGATGTAGTTGTTGCGGTAGCGCATCCCGTACTGCTCGTAGAAGGTGTCGCCGTAGTTCACCGCCTTGATCTCCACCATGCGCCGCTTGCTGTCCACCTCCTGCACCGCGCCGAACACCACCTCGTTCGTCGTCTCGCAGCTCTGCTCGTAGAACGTCTGCGGCCCGGAGGAGTACTGCCTGTGCTGCTGCAGCTGGTACATCTGCTGCTCCGGCTGCCGCCTCTGCTGGTGCTGGTGCTGCTGCAGGTGGTACGCCTGCTGCTCCGGCGGCTGCCTGTGCTGCTGCTGCTGCCGGTACACCTGCTGCTCCAGCTGCTGTCTGTGCTGCTGCTGTTGCTGGTGGTGGGGATACACTTGCTGCTGATGATGAGGGCCGCGTGCATCCCAGCCGCCGAGATAGGGCTGCCCGTGCCGGACGTGGTGAGCCTTCTCAGGCTCCGTCGTCACAAAGCCGTAGTTCTTCTGAGGGGTTGGCCCTCTCGAGTCCAGCGGCGGAGGCGTCTCCTCGTGCGGGATGGCGTAGCTTTCTTGCACTGGCCAATGGCTACCTCTTGGCTGCTGGTGGTGCTGATGGTGCTGTCTTGCCGGGCGCTTCTTTCGGGAGAACATGTCTGCCACGGATGATTTTGCTCCTCCCATGAGCTTGCCCACTGAGGTGAAGAATCCCTCTTCAGCTTCATGTTTCCCAGCTTCGTCTTCATTCGGGATCAGCGGCGGGCGAAACGAAGGCTTGAATGGCTGCTGGTATGGTTGGTATGGCTGATACGGAGGGATGCTTGCATTGCTTGGTCTTGGAGGCATCTGAGGTTCCTGCATGGTTGAAATTTCAGTTGCCAAGAAGGTCACTGTAAATTTGCTGCATAAAATAAGTAGTTTTGAAGAATATGCATGGACTCCGTCTTTTACTTTAGTAATGATCTAGCTAGGCTCGCTCTTGAGGGTTAATAAAGTGAATTCATAGCACCACTGATGAATGAGTGAACAGGCTGTGGCAAAAGGACGATGGACGCCACATCTACGTGACCCAAGGCTGACTGTAACGTATTCATGAGACCTGTAGAAACATGGTCCAGTATAGGCCCTGCCCTAGTTACCATTACCAACCCTTGCTGCCAGCAAGTGTGCATGATGTTTTCCTCAGAATAACAAAAACAGTTCGGCAAAATTACCTCTGTTGCTGAGACCATTCCTAAAACACGGCGCTGGAGCAACGCAAGCATGTAACCAAAGAAACCAGCAGCAAAAAGCAAGGCAACACCTGTAAGCATTTAAACTGAAGTAATTAGTGATTGTGGTTTTAGTGGAACTTCCTTGTGAGCAGCGAATTCATGATAGTATGGCTTCAGACAAGAACAGTACTCTGTGGTGAAATAGTACCTAGAGGGAAACCAGCTTCATCCTGATATTCACAGTCATCAGGCTGGAGTGGGATCTCCCGAATTGCTTGGTTTCCTCTGTCAATGACCAAGAGGGAGCAGCTACTGCTGATATAGCGGATTTCAAAATCGGTTGAAAATTTTGCATCGTCGCTGGGTCCATCCATGTGCCCACCTCTCATTGATTTCCCCCCAGCAATGGTTGTGACCCCTACACATTATTGCTCACCCTGTCATGAGTCTCTTCATTACCACTTACAAATTCATAACGAGTTCAGGACATTTATTCTAGATGTTCCCTGAAGCCCCACAAAAAAAATTTATCTGCAGCCAAACTGAATAAAGCCCAAAGATCTGTACATAAAAACAATTTGAAAAGTAGAAACTGTGAAGTTAAAATGGCTGGGCAAACTCGAAGCAATCATATCAATGACATAGGATATTTAATGTAAAAATATATAGATGCTTTGCGCATAAAACTCCTTTGTTTAATTCAACACACTCAAAACACATACAATCTGAATGATCAATTATGTATCACGGACTACTGATTTCTCCCACAGCTTTTCAATATCATGAAATTTTAAGAATGGGATAATCTATAATCTAAATTATAACTATGTAATTCAACTACCCATAATTAGATTTTAGATACATTACATGTTATAACATTTAAGCCTGTGTGTTTGATCTCCGCATCCACTCTTACAGCTTAACTTATCCCAAATGCAACTTTTGGACACAAGTGCTAAGAAAAAGTACCACAGAAGCTCAATCAAAAACAAAGAGCAAACATGGGATGCTAGGGACCATACATTACAAATATAATGTGAACAGATCCTACAATAAGACATTTTAGCTTACCTGTATCACTGATCTTTCTTATTGCCATGTTCATAGCGTCTGCAACATAAATGTTGCCCCTGTCATCAACTGTAAATCCCTTAGGGTGGTTCAGCTTGGCCTCTCGGAGCCTCCCATCAACATGACCAGATAATCCTTCAAGCGAACCAGCGACAAGCTTCGGCCTGCTATCTGCATGGTTTGAACCATTTTCAAGAGATGCAAGGGAAATAGTATATGAGCTGAACAGTAGCTACTATAGAGAAAAGACGCGACTTCATCACTTTAGAACAGAATATACCAAAGTTGGAATCACAGATCTTCACATCAGACATGGAAGATTTTGATAATAATTGTGGCCGACAATTCATACTATATTTCGCTACAAAACTTTCAGGCAAATACTTGTCGTGTGTCTTCAACTTCTGAACAAGGGAAGTGAAAGTGACCAGGCTCGTAACACATCACTATCTCATCAGGAACTCATAATTGCAAACTAGTACGTATAAACTAACAAACATATCTCAATCAAGAAACATGCCTGACCAAAGCCCTCAAAATTTAGCATGCAACCATCACACATCACCCCTGACCAACCACCCAAACTTAGTTAACAGACATATTTAGTAGAAACCCATGATGACTGAGCACTACCAAGATGACAGCAAAACCTGAAAAAGGACATCAAGAAGCAGTTGGGAGTATGGGGGCATGCTCACATCGGGACAGCGGCAGCTGGACCCTGTAGAGGTTGCTGTTCATGGAGTCGAGCAGGAGCAGGTCGCCGGCGGGGGTGAGCTCGACGGAGTGCGGCTCGATCCCCAGATTGCTGCCGTCGAACACCGTCTCCACCGCGTACCCGCCCTCGTACTTCACCATCGACCTCCCGGACGCCGCCGCCGCCGCCGCCGTCGCTGCCGACAGAAAGATTCCGTTTATAAGAAACCGAAACGCGGAAACCCCGGGAAAGAAACGCACCGATTACCCGTCCTGGCGGTCGATTTGAGCGACCAGAGCTTCTTGGCCACCGCCGTCGCCGTGCTGGTCAGGAGCCCGCCCAGAACCTCTGCCGCCGGCGGGCACCAATCAGTCAGCCGCAAGAAAACCAAAGCAAAAAACTTGAAAAACCAAGAACCGAGCTCGCTCACTTGCGGGGTACGAGGACGCGGCCGACGCGGAGACGGGGGCGCCGAGCAGGAGGGCGGCGACGAGGAGCGCCGCCACGCCCCTCGCGCCCGCCGCCGACGCCGCACTGGCGTCCATCGCGTGCTCCTCTCGTGGAGCAAAGAGCCAAGAAGCGGGCAGAGCTGGCAGG